TTCTTTTCACCATATAAATTCTACCAAGCATACATGGAGTAACAAGCTTTCAGAATAACAGAAAAGAAGTGAATGTGAAATATGAATGTGATATGTAATTATTGCTTCTTGATTGATTTCCTATTCACTTTGCACTGAAACAGAACCACCCACACAAAAGAAGAAAAAAAAAGGAGCTACATAATGGAAAATTAATCAAAACTGGTTTAAAAGCAAAGAAATGATTCTTGTTAGTTACTGATGTATTGGTGTTTCCTCTCCTCTTTTTTCCTAGAATTTAGAGAGAATTAGAAAGGCTGCCAAATGCTGTGGATATTTAAACACCATTAAATTAAGCATAATAAAATGATAGGGAAACAAAGTGATGGCCAGTGGCAGAGAAATATGAAATGAAAAATCTCTCAATTATGTCAACAACCATATTAAATTTAACTGTGTGAATTAAAAAGAAATAAATCCAGTAAGTGGAAAGAGTACACTAAATTATACTAGGAGCCAATAGCTATTTTAGTAAAAATAAACTGAAATTCCAAAGAAATATTACATTGTCCTCATGAATCTGAATTAATGTCTTTATTTAAACCAGTAGCTAAATTTTCAAAAACATAACAGGATCGTGAATTTGGGTGTTGGCAGCATCTCAGGTATTTTTTCCAAGCTTTTTAAATAAAGTTTAAAAAAATTAAATGACAAAGATTATTCCTTGACCAAAATCACTCAAATATTGAACATGGACCCAGGATAAGAGTTTCATTGTTTCACTCTTTAATATTTGGTCCTATTTACCTGTTATATATGAGTTGAATCACACATTTAACAGTTACCACTTTCATTGAATAATAATGCAACATGCTCTCTGGAGCCTCTTTCATAAGGGCAATAATTCCTTTCATGAGGGCTCTGCCCTCAGACCTAATCATCTCCCATCTTCCAACACCATCACATCAGAATTTAGGTTTTTATGTCTGAATTTTGGAGAAACACAAATATTCAACAGATCTCAATATTTCCACAAGTCATCTACAGATTCAACGGAGTCCCTATCAAAATCCTTACATGGCATTTTTTGCAGAAATGGAAAAGCTCATCCTCAAATTCATAAGGAATTTCGACTGTCCTTGAATATACAAAATGATGTTGAAAAAGCAGAACAAAATTTGAGAAACCACATTTCCTGATTTTGAAACTTACTATAAGGTGAATTCTCTGATATAATGGTAAACTTGTAAACCAATGGAATAGAAGTGAAAATCCAGAAAATAAACCCATACATTTAGTAACAACTGATTTTCAACAAAAGTGCCAAGACTATTCAATAGGGAAAAAACAGTCTGTTAGACAAGTTGTGCTGAGGTAACTGGAAATCCATATGTAAAACAAGTAAGTAGGACCCCTACCTTACAGCCATATATAAAAATTAGCTCAAATGAGATCAATGATCTAAACATAACATGTAAAATTATAAAAGTCTTAGAAGAAGACATATGAGTAAATTATCATAACCTTGATTTAGTGATAGATTCTTAGAAATTACACCTTAAAAGTATGCACAACAAAAGAAAAAATAAACTGGCAGTCATGGGAATTAAAAACTGCATGCAAAAAAAAAAACTGCATACATCAGAAGACACTATCAAGAAAATGAAAAGATAAGCTAAAAACTGGTAGAAAATGTTTGCAAATCATATATCTGAGAGGGGTTTAATATCCACAATATACAAAAAACTCTCACAACTCAACAACAAAAAGGCAAACAGCCTTATTTAAACATGGGTTAATGGCCTGAATAGACATTTCTCTGAAGAAAAGACAGAAGTATCCAAGAAGCCCGTGAAATATTTCCAACATTGTTAGTCATGAGGGAAATGCAAATCAAAACCACAACAGGATTTGCCACTTCACACCCAGTAGGATGGGTATAATTTTTAAAAGACAGAAACAAAACCAAAAAAGAACAAGTGTCACGGAGGATACGGGGAAATAAGAATTCTCACATGTTGTACTGGAAAAGTAATGGCTCAGTCAATGTAAAAAAAACACTGTTGGTCTCTCCAAAGTTATATAATTACCATATGACCCAGAAATTCTACCCCTATCTATACCAAAAAGAATTGAAACCCAGTACCCAAATAAATACATGTACACTCCTGTTCTTAATAGCTCTGTTCAAAAGAACCAAAAGATGGAAACAATCCAGGTATCCATCAGCCCATGAGTGGATGAACAAATTGTGGTCTATCCAACAATAAAATACTATACAGCCAACAAAGAAAGAAAGAAAGTGCTGATGCTTGTTGCACGGTTCCGGAACCTGGGAAACCCTGGTTAAAGAAGCCAGCTACAAAAGGTTACATGTTGTGTGATTCCATTCATGTGAAATAGCCGGAACAGGTAAATCCATGGAGATAGAAAGGAAATCTGTGGTTCCTGGCATCTTGGGAGATTTCCTATATAATGCTTAATGGATTTCCTTTGGGAATGATGAAAATGTTTTAGAATCAGTAGTGGTTGTACATCATTGTGAATTTATCAAATACCACTAAGTTATTCGCTTTAAAACCGTTAACTTCAGGGCGTCCCTGGCAGTCCACTGGTTGGGACTTCGCCTTTCAATGCAGAGGGTGCTGGTTCGTCCCTGGTAGGGAGCTAGGATCCCACATGCCTTGTTGCCGATACACCAAAAACAGTTAAAGCAGAGATAATACTGTAACAAATACAATGAAGACTTTAAAAAATGGCTAGCTTCATGTACTGTGATTTCACTATAAGAAAAAAAAAAATTGGGAATGTCTCAGCCCCATTAAAGCTATTTGAATTTTCCCCTAGTCTTATAGCTCTATTTTTAATTTGGTTTTTAATTTTAAGAAATATTATAACCATAGCATTTTGTCAGTTTAAATAAGAAGCTAAATATTACTTTTATCACTGTTTTAAATCAAACTAATATATAAATCAACTGATAACAGCTATGGGAACTGCCAATCATTTTATAATAATATAGCAGATTATTAGTAGTATGCCAGTCATATAAAATACAAAATGAAATATAATTTCATATCTGAATATCACAACCTATAAAATTTCATGAAGTTCTAATTCTGTAAAATATAAGTGACCTAAAGAGTCAAAATTTGCATCTTCATTTTAATTGGTTATGGGATAAATGTTATTTATCTGATACATAAAAAGGAGGTTTAAAAGGCTGAGAAAAGATCCCATTAACCCTACAGACTTTGTTGCCCTCTCACACTTGCCTTGTAATAGAATAAAAGAGAGAGGATGAGAATTGAAGATAAATGAAAGTACACAGTAAAATTTAAATAATGAAAATCAAAACATAAACACACACATTCATTTAATGATCTGCTACACATTTGTGAGGATGTGCCAAACACGTGGACTGAGATTTAATATTCATGATTTTAATTTCACAAGACATGACAGCATTATGGTGTTTTAGTAAGAGAAAGTAGAACTCCACACGCAAGTAATTTATTCCCAGAAACGCTGCTTCATGCATATAAAATCTTATGTGTGCACTTTTGCTCCAGTAGAGAATCACAAAAAGGGAAGAAAACTAATACTCCTAGTTTAGTATTAGTTTTGTAGAAATCAATTCACTTTGTGCGTGTGCATGTACGTGTGTATGCCTGCATGTGTGTGTGTATTTGAGAGGAGGTGAAAGCAATCACATTACATTAAAGTAAATGCCACCCTATTTTGCAGTATATTGATTTATTTCAATTCAGTGGAACACTTTCAGTAGATATCATCCTTATAATGTTTGTAAATGGTACTTAAGTATCTTTATCTCTGCTAACTTCAGAATTTTTTAGGCAAAATGACATTGTTTTGCTCAATCTACATAATTCCATTCACCTTTGTTAAAGTGGACACAAAACCGTGGATGTGTTTTTCAGTTTCATGAGTAAATAATTTATTTTGAAGAATGTCTTCTGTGTGGCCTAGGGTTTAATAGTGTGGTATACATGCTATTCTTCAAAATAAATTATTCATTTTTATTAATAAGATATAGCATATTTAACATACTTTTATATTTTTCTATATCTAAAGTCTCTATAGTTATATAAGTAATTACACTTGATCTTAGCCAAAAGGCCTGAGAAGCAATACAGTTATATAAGTATTTACTAATAACTATTTTAAAAGTTGAAATTTCTAGTGTATCTCAGAGTAAAGTGGAGTAAGAACAGCTAAAGGAAAACATAAGAAGATAATATAATAAATCTAATAACATCAAACTATAGTGTTCTATATTTATTACTCTAACAACAAAAGAATAGGTATAATTATTGTTTATTCTTAAATGGTTCAACAAATTTATGAGTAGAAGAAAGCTTTGAAAGAATGATAATGAATGGAGGAAAGTTAAAGTTAAGAGCCTGCTACACCACTGAATGGAAATAATACATTTCTGAAGACAAAGTTGCTAAACAAAATATACATAATGCCAATTCTGTTCAAAGAATGGACACTTTCAGTAAAGTAAATTCATTAGGAATTGACTTTGATGGCCTTTCCACTTTGGGATTAATTCATCATTTTCCTGAGACACATCAATTACCACTCTGTCACATTAACTTTCTGAGAATGACCCCGTATGTGACCTGAATGAAGGGAATCAGCTGCCAGAAGGATTTAAGAAAACAGGCTTCCAAAGCCCTTCATGAGAGGCATGTCGACTAGTCATGGGGCCTTGCTCGGTAGAATACTGACCACTTTTTCCAATGATGTTTCACTTGAAAAAGTACGTTTTGCAATGGAAAACGCCTATACTGCACATCAAGAGAATTAAGGCTTCACAAGCACAGACATCTCTGCCATACGCTGAAGAAACCACATGAGCCCTACAGGGAACTCTATTTTCCGAAATTGTTGGGAATTGCACTTCTACTTTTCCCCGTTACAGCAAAATCATGACATATTTTGATAAATGTTAGGTAATACATGCTTGTTTCCTCTTCGGTTGTTTTGTTATGTTTCATCACTTCATGGTGGTCGCAAACCCCACTTTTCCTTTCCTTTCCTTTCCATCAAGTTCTTTTACCTTATTCTCTGTCCTGAAGTTCAAAGACACGAACAGAGGGAGAAACAGGACAGGTAAGAGCTCAGAAAAGGATTCAAATTAGTGAAGTCCTTACAGCTATTTGTTTGGCTTTTTTTCTTCTCACTGAGCCCTGGGAAAGATGGTCCTTTCTAACACCATTCTCCAGCTAGGGTTTTATCACTCTAAGGGGATCTGCAGCTTTCACTGTCTGTAGGCTATTGTACACACAACCGTGTACTTTCTAGATAACCCACTGCAATGCATATAATTCTCAGCCACAGAGATGCAGACTAATTTTGCCTGGTGGAAGTGCAATCTATTTCTTTATTCCTTGTGGGAAAAATAAATCAGCTTTGCATCTGATAACCAAATTCATTTACGCATTTCTGGTTGCCCTGTCTGTTACTTAGAGCCTTCTTTCAACTGGCTATATTATCTTACTGGTTGACTCAGGAGTGGATGGATGAAATAAAACCTTTGACATGTGTTCATTTTATGTTTGTATGAGATTTATGAGCTTAGCATTTTAAAAACGACCATACTGATTATCACTCAGTCGTGTCTGACTCTTTGACACCCCATGGACTGTAGCCCACCAGTCGCCTCTGTCCACTGGGCTCTCCAGGCAAGAATATTGGAGTGGGTTGCTATGCCCACCTCCAGGGGATCTTCCCGACTCAGGGATCGAACCAGGGTCTCCTGCATTACAGGTGGATTCTTTACCAGCTGAGCTACTGTTAATCTAATTATATAGAGAGGCTAGTCTACTAATTTAAAACATACAATAAGCCATCATAAGATGGAAACTTGAGATGTTGGGGCTAAAAAAAGTAGCAGTAGTTTCTCTGCATGCAATGAGTGACATTTACCACTGTGCGTCTTATATGCCCTTGCTAAGCTGCTTCAGTCATGTCCGACTCTTTGCGACCCAGTGGACTGCAACCTGCCAGGCTCCTCTGTCCATCGAATTCACCAGGCAAGAATACTGGGGTGGGTTGCCATGCCCTCCTCCAGGGGATCTTCCTAAGCCAGGAAGATCTTTTATGTCACATCTTTTATATCTCCTGCTTTGGCTGTGGGTTCTTTATCACTAGCACCCCTGGGAAGCCTGTGTCTCTTATATGCCAGCATCCATTTCCTCATCTTATTCATACACAGAATTTTTATGCATTTAGATATATGCTAATTCTATAGGGCACTTATATACATATATATACAAACATGTTATTCCTATATGATACTGATGCACAGAATTTTACACATACAGATTAGTTTTCTTGAAATAATGTTAAAACCACAATTTGGATTTGTGTTATAGTAACATCTACATGATTTTCTGGACTTTGGCTTGTTCTGTATGAAGCTTTGATTCATTTGATATTGAGAGACATCTGAACCTTGATATTTTGATCTGGAAAGATTTCTGTGGCCCCAAGGATTATGACCTGCAGCTGCTCCATGACAGGCAATTGTTTTGGTTTAAGTGCGTGCGTGCTAAGTCGCTCACTCCTGTCCGACTCTCTGCAACCTTATGGACCATCGCCTGCCTGGTTCCACTGTCAATGGGATTTCCCAGGCAAGAAGATTGGAGTAGGTTGCCCATGCCCTCCTCCAGGGGAACTTCCGCACCCAGGGATTGAACCCAAGTCTCTTATGTTTCTGGCATTGGCATATGGGTTCTTTACCACTAGTGCCACCTGGGACACCTTTAATTTAATTAGTGAGTCTGAATTCTTAATGAAGAAGGTTAAAAAAAATTCACTAACACCTTCTCCCAGTCATCAAAATGATACCAGTTCAGTTCAGTCGTTCAGTCGTGTCTGACTTTTTGTGAACCCATGAATCGCAGCATGCCAGGCCTCCCTGTCCATCACAAAATCTCGGAGTTCACCCAAACTCATGTCCACTGAGTTGGTGATGCCATCCAACCATCTCTTCCTCTGTCATCCCCTTCTCCTCCTGCTCCTAATCCTTCCCAGCATTAGGGTCTTTTCCAGTGAGTCAACTCTTCACATGAGGTGGCCAAAGTATTAGAGTTTCAGCTTCAGCATCAGTCCTTCCAAAGAACACCCAGGACTGATCTCCTTTAGGATGGACTGGTTGGATCTCCTTGCAGTCCAAGGGACTCTCAAGAGTCTTCTCCAACACCACAGTTCAAAAGCATCAATTCTTTGCCACTCAGCTTTCTTCACTGTCCAACCCTCACATCCATACATGACCACTGGAAAAACCATAGCCTTGACTAGACAGAGCTTTGTTGGCAAAGTAGTGTCTTTGCTTTTAAATATGCTATCTAGGTTGGTCATAACTTTCCTTCCAAGGAGTAAGCGTCTTTTAATTTCATGGCTGCAGTCACCATTGATATACACTTAAGGAATAGTCTTGTAATTGATGAGCACACCCAATGAGTTGTTCATATCTTCCAAAATCTCCCTGGTTTCCAAGCTCTGTCTACTTCTAAACCAAAGAACTACACTGGTCCCAAGAGCCCAGGTCTAAACTCACAGTGGTCTGCTAACACGATAAGGCACACTGGCATATATACCAGCTCCAAGGGCTTCCCTGGTGGCTCGGTGGTAAAATCTGCCTGCAAAGCAGGAGCTACAGGAGACGTGGGTTTGATCCCTAGGTCGGGAAGATCCCCGCAGGAGGGCATGGCAACCCACTCCAGTATTCTCGCCTGGAGAATCCCATGGACAGAGGAACCTGGCGGGCTACAGTCCACAGGATCGCAAAGAGTTGGACAAAACGGAAGCGACGGAGCATGCACGCACACATCAGCTCCAAACAGGCCCCAGACAGCCCTCACACTTCCTAGCTGACACGCTTTATGCTATACCACCTGGATATAACCAGAAAGGCATCAAAGTGGAATAGAACGAAGTACTTCTTCTTTCATGTTCCCATTCCACTTTGCTCTTAGCCATCATCACAATGTGTTATTGAAAACAATGGATGTGTAATATCTTCCCAGACAGACGCTAAGCCCACGCTGGTCTAGGATAATGATTCAGTCATCTCCACATCACCAGCATCCAGAGCAGTGACTGGCACAGGGTATAATATAAATAAGTGCTTCCTCTGTTCAGTGAATCAAAGGGAAACAGATATTTTGATGATCGAAACTTGCCCCATAATTGAAATAATTCTGTGCTTTCATGAGTGGCAAGCTGCAAAACACTCTCTACAGATTTATCCATTGTGCATATGTTAGAAGCATATACCATTACTGATGGCTTATGAATCTGTACAATAGAAAATTATGATCACTGACTATAACATTTAACTTTAGATATTTGCATCACCAAGTCATGAGACACTAATCCAATTTAATCTTATATTTGCAATAAATCCCTAAAATCACAAAGAATAAAGAAAAGTAATATGGAATTCAATTTTTCTGCCCATTTAGCTTTTACAGCTGATATGAATATGAACTATTTATATGACTCAAAAAATATGAACTTTTCAAACTCATTTTTAACTCATTGTTAAAGGAATTGAGTGAAAAAGCTAGCACGAACATTAAGGTACCATAGCTACTTTCATGGGAGAAACAGAAACAAGCTGTGTGTGTTTTGCAACATATTGACACTAACACATATACATTACAACTGCCGCTAGGAGAATGTTTGAAAAGTCTAAAAGCCATGTATCAAAAAAATTACATCCAGAGCAGTAAATATATCTATTGGCTTTAGGACAAAATTCCAAAGCAAGCTAACTTTTCCAAAGTCAAAATTTGACTGTAATTCAGGTTTTAACATTTATGTCATAGCCTATAAAGGTTATTTGTAACATGATGTGTTTAATTGACTTAAAAATAATTTTTCTGAGACTAAAAAGAAATCGAAGAGGAGTGAACCAGTTATGTTTAAATGTTTATGGGGATATTTACCTTAGCCTCCAACAAATCCTAATTGTATAGTTGCCCAAACTAATGGAGAAAAATACTGACTGAAAAATAAGATCAACTGCTTGGATAACTGAGACAAAACTATAACAGGAAGCCAAACACACAGAGGTCGTTTCCTAAGTTCATGCTTTTCTTCCTTTCAGAAAAGCTTGAAACTCTCAGATATGTCATACTCTTAACATGTTCACACAAAATTAGTCACGCTCTCTTTTCCTGTGCATGAACAACATTTCAGATATACTTTATATTACCATGGGAAAAGATCAAACGATCAGATATGAGATAACACAAAAAAATGTATTCAGACTTGAAGTTGTGAAAGTTAAGGTGGTGCCCACCAGGTCTCAGGGCAGAAATACAAAGGAAGTGAGGACATTTGCTTCCAAAGAGTTCCCATACCTTGTGTTTCTCCTGGAGTTCAACTCCTGATGTCTTGAAATCAGGACCTTCGGAGCTTTCGCTGAATCTATTTCTCCTGTGCAGGAGCTCTTCCATTTCTTTCACCCGGACCTTCAGTCTTCTATTTTCTCTCTCCAGGCCTTGTTTGTCCTTTTCAAGTAGCTCCCTTTTGTCCCACTCAGACGTATGTTCAGCCTGCAATCTCTCTAGCTAAACACAGAAAACGCAGAAAAGCAACACGTAGCCTTTGCAATTGCCAAAGCGAATATGTTCATTTACACATTAGTTTTTCTATGTTTTGGCCACACCCAAGGCACGCAGGAAGTTAGTTCCTCAACCAGGGGTTGAACTTGTGCCCCCCGCTGCAGTGAAAGTGTGGTGTTTTAACCACTGAACCACCAGGGAATTCTCTACACAATTTTTAAAAAGAGAACTCTATTTGTCTGAAAAGTTGAGAACGACACAAAAGCCCAAAGACCAGATCATGCACTAGATAAATTTACCCATTCTCTTGGTTCATGGGACTATTTCTAGAACCAAATAGACCATATTTGTCAAATAAGTATATTAAGTGAAACATTGATGATATTTTGCCCTCAATCTCCACTCAGCTGATGAGAATTTAACAGTTGAGAAGGAACAAAATCACTTCTTGGGCAATTTTGGTTGGATGGATATAGTTCATATATTCATTCACTCATTCACTTATTTACTATACCTTTCAACTTCCAGGTACTATGCTAGTCATTGCAAATATAGACAAGTGAATGTAATAAAATACCATAAATGCCATGATTAAAGTACTGTACAATATAGTCAAACTCACCTGAATAAATGTCCAATTTGATTTTCATGGAATGAAGGTTGGCAACATGATTAAAATCAGAGGTATTTTAAAACTATTTGTTATGGATCAATTACTTACTTTTACATTGTTAGTTTTAAATGGCTTGATGGCAAAGTATTGAATAGTATTGCACTATTATAAAGTAGTTTCCATGACTTTAAATTTTCAAAGAGAAACCAACATTAAGATAATGTTAGACTTCAATAATATCTTTGGAAATTAATTTTGATTAAAAAGTCTAAAAACTGCTTTTTCATACACACATAATTGTGCCATTATTGTAGAAAATGTTCTGTTCCCAAATCTAAGTGAGGCTCTGGTTTTTGAAAAAATAGGAAACTAAAATTACATTCTTGGCACTACACCTTCTCTATCAATTAAACATAATAAACTAAGGGATCAAATTTTAGATGACGTGATTTGACATTTGGGGTGCCGGTTTGGGATATGAGGTGAAAACAGTATTTCACAATCCAATTTAGAACATGACATGACTTTAATTATTAAGATTAATGCTTAAACTTTTTGACTAGCATCACATCACTTATCAGAATGAAAATAATAAAGTTGTAATAAAAAATCATCAACTTAGTGATGAAAAATTAATTTTATGAGAATAAATGTATTCTTGGTCAAGGACAAATAGGATGCTATGTCAAGTCTTTGTAAAACTTTAGGCATTTAAAAGACATTGATGAAGTTCAATTTATACCTAATAACAGATAACAAGTAGAAATAGGATTTTAAATAAATGATAGATGGCTTGAAAGAAAAAAATCTAAATTAAAAATGTTGAAGAAAGGAATTATATTAATGGCAATAACAATAAAACTTAAATAATGATGTGTTATTATTTACTATTTGAAGGTTTTTATTGACATACCAATTATCTGATAAATTTAGACATAAAATAAACATCAAAATAGTATGGGTTTGTGAAAACTGGATCATAAATTTTATTAGCAGTTTTATTTTTTATTTCATTTTTAAAGATTCTTTCTTGTCAGATTATTCTAAGAATCATACAATATCTACCACCTTAAAAGCCTTTCAATTAAATGTGAGTTAAAAAGATGAAAGAAATATCAGGTACCACTTTAAGCTTTCAGAGTATTTTGTAAGTAGTTCTAACAACTGGTCAAATTGAAATGGAATTCTACTGATTCACTTCCAATGATCAACAGAAAAATTCTAAAACATTTTAATTCTAACTGTAATACACCATGAATTTTAACTAATAGTGAAAGTGTTAGTTTCTTAGTCAAGTCTGATTCTGCAACCCCATGGACTGTAGCCCACCAGGCTCCTCCATCCATGGAATTCTCCAGGCAAGAATATTGGAGTGGGCAACCATTCCCTTCTCCAGAGGATCTTCCCAACCCAGGGATTGAACCTGGGTCTCCTGCATTGTAGGCAGATTCTTCACCATCTGAATAGCCAGGGAAGGAGAATCAAGCTAACAGTATCTCAATAAAAGGAAGTAGGAGATGGATTTGAATATTCTAAGAACCAAGAGTCCAATCATGACATATTAGAAGCTTAGGAGAGTAGGTATGAAAGCAAGTTAAACAAGCAGATACTTACACTTAGAAGGGTGATTTAAAGGATCATTTGTGTTTCTTATGAAAAAAATATAATATTGTGATTATTCCCAAGGACCAAATTGAGTCATTTCTTTTATTCATATATATGTATATAAGTGTTTATGTATTTGCTTCCTTCCTTCCTTCCAGTTTTATTGAGATATGAGTGACATATGTGTACACAGCCTAACAATTTGGTCATTTCTAATCATATTTATCTATAAACTCAATCTTCACCCTGTGTCATTGCTTAACACTGCTGAAAGGGCATCAGTAATAGATTGCAATGAACAAAATAGAACATAAGTTTTATGAAAGCAGAGTTGGGCCATTTTGCTCATCATCTGGCACCTGACACATGCAAGGTCTGTGCTTCACAAGGACCTGTTGAAGGAAGGAAAACACATTCTGTGTCTCTAGGAAGAAGCTCCTTTGTGTTTCAGTCACAGCAACTGGGCACAAAGTGAAACTAAGACAGCATCCTAGCAGAGCCAGTTATTCACTCACCAATTCAACTGCCAGCAGAATTTCTCAGGACATTTACCCTTAACTCTTATTACTGTTGTCATAGTTGCTTTGTATTTTGTGATAGAAGTGACATAAAGACAGGATTTTTCAGTAGAATGACCTAAAGTTGAGTCCCAATTCTTTTTATCCCAAGACACTATTTTTCATTTATAAAATATGGAAAGTATTTCCTACAACTTAGTATTATGAGATAGGAATGATTAAGGGAAAATAATCATTAAACTTTCAAACTCAACATAAATATTTCTTGTCATAAACATGTTTTCTAAAGAAGAAAGCATACCAGCAGCCAATCCAAATAATAACAGGTGAAATAGTGCATTATTTTTCAGCACATTTCATCAAGACAACAATCATTTTGTAAATGGACCTTGTCGACTGAGAAAACCCCCCATCAGAATGCACTATGTGGCATTCTTCAGGCCAGCAAGTGTCGCGTAAAAACAACACGCGTGTTCCAGTAAGAGATGTACAAATATTCAGAGTTTTCATTTCAGACAAGTTAGCTATAAAACCTCATCATAAGCACTGTGCTTTTGAAAGGAAGAGATAAAAGGCAGGAAGCTTGTCACTCCCTACCAGTAAAAGATCCTGGTAAAAGAGGTCCTCCTTTTACTGAGGACCTAGTATGTCCCCGGTAAATAGCCGTATAGGTTATTTCTTATCCTCACCACCATCCTGTAAGTTTGTGTGTGCTACACAAGAGGAGGGAAACTAGGGTTCTTAATATTGTTGCCATTATATTTATGTGTGAAATTGATTATAATCTGCCTTGCTTTTATTACCCTTGTCTAGATGCAGTATAAAGATTAAACTAATATAATAGAAAGAATTAGGAAGTTTTCCCTCTTTTTTCTTTTTTTGGAAGACGCTCTATAAAATTGGAATTATCTACTCAGATGGTAGAACTTAACCATAAAGTATTCTGATGCTAGAGTTTTATTATAAAAAGTTTTAATTCATTAATTTTTATTTACTTTATTTAATGTTATAAATCGATTTCAGCTTTCTATTTTTACAAGAGTCATACTGGGTAAGCTATATTTTCTGGTCAATAATTCATTTCATGTAAGATTTTATTTTTATTAGAATTCTCTCTACAGAGTGGTTTCCTATCTTTGTAAACCTCTGCTCTATCTAAAATTTTGTCCCGTTTTTTATTACTAGAGTTTTGGTTTTTTTTGCCTTTTCTCCCCCATTTATTTTTATTAGTTGGAGGCTAATTACTTTACAATATTGTAGTGGTTTTTGCCATACACTGACATGAATCAGCCATGGATTTACATGTATTCCCCATCCTGGTCCCCCCTCCCACCTCCCTCTCCACCCGATTCCTCTGGGTCTTCCCAGTGCACCAGCCCCGAGCACTTGTCTCATGCATCCAACCTGGGCTGGTGATCTGTTTCACCCTAGATAATATACATGTTTCGATGCTGTTCTCTCAAAGCATCCCACCCTCACCTTCTCCCACAGAGGACAAAAGTCTGTTCTGTACATCTGTGTCTCTTTTTCTGTTTTGCATATAGGGTTATCATTACCATCTTTCTAAATTCCATATATATGTGTTAGTATGCTGTAATGTTCTTAATCTTTCTGGCTTACTTCGCTCTGTATAATGGGCTCCAGTTTCATCCATCTCATTAGAAGTGATTCAAATGAATTCTTTTTAATGGCTGAGTAATATTCCATGGTGTATATGTACCACAGCTTCCTCATCCATTCGTCTGCTGATGGGCATCTGGGTTGCTTCCGTGTCCTGGCTATTATAAACAGTGCTGCAATGAACATTGGGGTGCACATGTCTCTTTCAGATCTAGTTTTCTCGGTGTGTATGCCCAGAAGTGGGATTGCTGGGTCATATGGCAGTTCTATTTCCAGTTTTTTAAGAAATCTCCACACTGTTCTCCATAGAAGCTATACTAATTTTTAAATTATAGCTCTTAATTAATTTTGCCTGATTGCTTTTTTTTCCCCCTAAAAACCAACTTCTGTCTTTGCTAACTCTATTCTACATTTTTTTGGTATTAATTCCTCATATTGACTTTCCCTCTTTGTGCTTTTGGTTTTTTCATTGTGCTTTTGGTTTTTTCCTGCTAGGATTTAGTTTGCTAATTTTTGTCTTATATTGGGTTAATCTGGATACTTCAAGAAGCAACTCTTACAACTGGCATTTAAAATACCATAAATTTACTGTGGGGACTGCATATGAGAGAGAATGGGGGGGAGACAGGAAAGGCCAAGAACAGTCAGAT